CTCACAATCTAGGGCAGGCTTGGGTCTTTCCTCAGTGCACGGAGGACCTTTGCTTTCAGAAAGGAACCGTTACATGACCCATCTCCACGTAGGCACCTGTGCCATGATGGTGGAGAAGTTTCTTTGGGACTCGCTGGGTTGCCTTTCTCCCCTTGGCCTTCGTGGTGGAGGCGGTGGACCTGGTGGTGGTACTCATGGCACCGTGAATCGCTTCTCCCGTTGGGCACTTGGAGGTTCTTCAGCATACTCCTTGCACCAGAAAAGGAGCCCCAGGCAACTCTGCGCACGCGTGTCCCGCCGGTGACGAACAGATCCCCCGCGTCATTCCTTCCGGAGGTCCCTTTCCCAAGTAGCACTTTCCCAATGGCTCCCAAGGACATTCCACCCGTAGAGCCTGGTCGCCCATCTTCTGCGCGGACCCTGCTCAATGCTTGGGGCATTTTCGAGAGCCTGGCAGGCCAGAAGGAGACGATTCACAGACCTGCACCCGCTCCTCCCTGCCCCCCACAGGGCTCAGGAGATCGCCTCCTTGCTCGGCTGGCTGTGGGCGTGCTGGGAGGGGTCTCCCTGCCTCCTCACTCGCCAGAGGCCAGAGGCCAGCGGTGTGGCCAGAGAAGGCAGACGGGGAAAGAAAGGCAAAGCCACACCCAAAGTCCCATCCAGAGAGGACTCTCCCAGCCCCGGAGAAGGGCGAGGCACTCAGACTGTGCTCAGACCCGGTCACGCACCCCATCCTCTCCAGTCACTTGCCATCAGAGCCAGACGTCGAGAGCTTGGCCCCTCAGCACCGTCCAGGTGAACAGCGTGGCCCCGGGCACACTGCAGGCCCCGCCTTTTTCCAGGAGGCTGCACCAGCCACACCGCCGAGAGGAACTCGCTCCTCGCAGGAACTCTTGGTGGGTCACACAGGCCGTGCCGCACGCAGAGTGTGCCTGGGCTTCTGCAGGCATGTGCCTCAGAGCCTACCTACCGCCACAGCCCCAGAGATGGCCGCGGCTTCTTGTTTTTCCTCTTGGTCGCTCGGGCCCTCCCGCTGGCACAAGGGCCGTTGCCAACGCTCATTGGGCCCGGAGGCGGGCTGTGCATGCTGGAACGGTCGAGCCGGTCGTGCTCCTCTTCGGGCAGCTTGCCGTTTCTCCCTGCTCCGTGTTTGGACTGGTGAATCACGACTGGGCCGGCAGGCAGGGCCGACTGGATCTTCCAGAGGTCGGAGGCCGTCTTCGGCCGGTTGTGCTCTTTTAGGCGTCTCCACTGCTCTAAGCTGATTCCTTCGACCTCTGTGGCCCCCGGGGACACCTGTGTCCCAGGAGCTCTGCCGCTGGCTTCGCCCACAGGCTCCCCGGGGCCGGCAGGGTCAGGTTCCCCGGGGTGTGTGGGGTCAGGCGTGAGGGGGGCCGCAGACCCTCCCCCAGCACCCCCTTGCCACGCACCCTCCCGGGAGTAGAAGAGGATGTAGGCGCCCTGGCTCAGGGCAGCACTCTCATCACAGGCCGTCACCTTGGCATCGCCCATCTTATAACACTGGCCGTTGCCCGCTCGCACGAAAGAAAAGTAATGTCCTCGCTCACCACTCCACCCAGAGTGCACCAGCACGGCATAGAGCACGTAGCCCAGTGGCCCTGCTTTCCGCTCAGACGTGAAGGGCTGCAGGTCGAGGCACTGGGGATAGCGCACTTCCTGAGCCCTTTTGGCCCCGCTCACCTGTGTGAACCGCTTCAGCACCAGCACCAGGACCTGGGACGTCCTGTGCAAAGTCAACCTCTTGGTGGCAGGCACTTTCCGGAGACAAACGCCACAGTCATAGGCATTTTCAACGTCCAGCTTCTCGGGCTTCACCAGCTCTCTCAGAGCTTGCTCCACACTCTGAGCCGCGGTGGTATCCAGGCTGATGTCCAGATAAGGGTCGAACGTGTCTGAGACACCGAGGCAGTGGACACACTGGATCTGAGAGCTGCAAGTCCCGCCGAAGATCTGACGGATGAGGGTGGTGTCCTCGGAGGGATGGCCCGACGGCTGGGATGCACTCAAGCACCCTCGCTGCATGGGATTCAGAGTGAACATCAGAAACTCGTGGGCATCTTCCTGCTAGTGTCTGTGGAAGCCCGCCGGCAGGTCCTTGCGGGGCCGGATCACCTCTCCCGGGTGAAGGAGGGTTCGGGTCACGTGAGCTCGCCCAGCACAGAGCGTGCAGGAGGTTCGAGCCGGATAGAGGGTGGCGTGCTGCTGGGACACATTCCAGCGGGCCAGGGGTGGCGTGTGGCTCAGACAGTGCAGCACTGCATTCACGTAGCAGGTGTTCCCCAGATTCTGAAGCCCAGCCCCGACCCCCCACGGCCCCCTCCAGCTCAGGGCGACTTGGTGGCCAGGCGCCAGCCCTGCCGACCCAGGAGCCAAGTCACCCCGCTGGGACCAACCAAGTGCCGGCGATGACACCTCAGGGACAGAGGGTCCCCGAAGGGCATCCGCACCAGCGGCGCTGGGCCGACTACCTTGCCCTCTG